TACTATCCATATAAATATAACTAAAGAAAAGTTGAAAATCTTACTTTTATCTCAATAAATCAACTACTTTGTATAACCGTTGCATTGTTTTAATATTACTGATGGATTTACATAAGATCGGTACTCGATTAGCTGGCCTATACAAGAAACATTGCGGCAGAACTTTGAATATCAGTGGTCCCTTTCTTAAAATATTATTTGCATCAGCCATATTTTAGGAAATTAAATATTTTTTTTAAATTCAATAAGGAAGTCTTCTCTCTTCTTCTTCGCATTTCAAGCTTAATGCTTATCGCATTTTAGCTTATTGTGTGCTCTCAACTTAGTGTTCTAGATGCACTTCCACAGTTATTAATTGAGAGCTTTCGATGCCCTTTACCATTTTGCATTAGTATAATTGTGTGGCAAGTACGATCATACTCTATTGCTCAGGGAAGTCAAGAAATTTTCCAACCCAAAACATTCCTACACCGGACCGGGAATCGAACCCAGCCACCTCCAGCATGGTCTTGCTTTGTAGCTGAGCTAAGTCTGCGATTTAGACAAATGTTAACAAGTTTTAGACAATCAACAGAAACTCAAGTTTTCATAACTCTGAGACCTACACAACTTTTCTAGATAGCAGTCCAAGAAAAAGTCTCATTATTCTGGAACGAGGAAAATGTTCCAAGATGGAAAGATCGTGGACATACACTTCAATTTGCTAAAACGTAGGATACAGGAATGAGTAAATGTTAACTCAAATATGCGTAAATGTCACTCATACATGAGTCAATGTCACTCAAATATGAGTGATATGTAAAAATTTACTCAAATGCGAATTTGAGTGAACTAGACTCACATATGAGTCAGACTTAGATTGCCGTGTAGAAAAATTTGCATGCAACCGAAGACGACATATCAAGAAGACTGGCAACTCTTCCATTTTCTCAAACGACTGGTATGAGACAGACACAATCACGTCATCTGTCGCTCAAAGGTAAATGCTGCCAACGAATTGGATAGCAATGGTTCCCTCTGCAGAAGAAAGGTTTGTGTATTTGCTCTTTTTATATGCGTTGCTTTCACCTTCGCTTGAGCGCAGCGCTACTGTGTCTGTCGCTTGGATTCAAGCAAAATCGCCAGTCTTCTTGATATGTTGTCTTTGATGCAACTTAAAATCTGATCTCGAAAAAAAATGTAATATTCCGGGATAAATTTGAGAGATTTTAGGACCAATTTTTCAATGCTGCGACTCAAAAATTCTATATCTTGTAACGTGCCAGTGCGGTGTTACTCCTAGCACTGATGAGACCTCGTCTCCAAGCCTCAGGGTCAGCACCAAGGGCCTGACACGCTCCTTTTTTTCGTTGCCAGCATAAAAACGCGATCACATATCAATCTAAGCTGGAAATTTGTCGCACCCACATATCGCCTGCCACACTAAGTACTTCTTGGCAAATTTGTCCACCTTCTTCTTCCGAAACTTTTCCGGAACATAAGAATACGGTGGGACTTGCCGACGAAAAACTCCAGGCCGGGGATCTGCTTGGCGCCCGCTTTAATGTACGTCTCGTCGCCCATTACGATGCATTTCGGCTGCACCAACCACTCGCGGTACAGCTTCCTACAGGATTTGGCCACCGTATTATGTTTATCGGTTCGGCCCGCTTCACTGTCTGCTGGACGCACCAGACGGAAGAATTGACCTTTTTGGCCACGTCCCGAATCGAAAGGTTCGGATTGCGCTTGAAGTAAGCCCTCACCTTCCTTGCGTTCACGTAAAATTACTTCTGATACTCTCCCTAGTCGGCAGATTGATCAGGGCAGTGATGGCATAATCATTAGTAAATTGATATTTTCCGCTCTCATACGCGCTCAATATCACGCGTGATATTGGAGCAAAATATAATGCTTGAAATTGATTTTACAAGCTCCTTTGATATTGCGAGACTATTCACAACGTGTAACGTTGAAGCTGAGAGTTGAATCGACGCAAAAATGTTTCCGTTGCACATCGTTTTCTTAGAAAGAGAAGGTATAATAATGCTAACTATCCCTTTTTTGTCTTCACCGATGGCAGACACGAAGCAACGGCTGCCAGCCGTTATGGAAGTTTCGGTTCATTCGGGTGTAAAAAATAAAGACACCCAATCTCACCACAGCTTCTTTACAAGAGGTATGTAATTCGTACTCAACATAATCTGCAATGCCACCCCAAGGCATTCTGGTCGTTTGTGAATACGAAGAGGAAGGAAACTGGACTGCCGTCAAAAATGTTTCTCGGCAATGACGTAGCATTGACAACTGAGGACAAATGCAGCCTATTTGCTAGGCACTTCTTAAGCGTCTTCTCGAATGACTCCCCATCGCAAGCAGAAATTGAGCGAGCCGTCCGTGATGTGCCAACCGACGTCGTAAACATGGATATTTTTGCCGTAGATGTACAAATGGTTCTCTCTGTGATGAGTAAAACCAAATCATCATTTTCACCAGGTCCGAGTGTTATTCCATCTGCTGTCCTAAAAAAAGCTCCGATACCTTAGCTGCTCCGTTGTCCTTGCTCTTCAACCCGCACTATGGAAACGCTCTACTATGTTCCCTGTTTTCAAGAAAGGAGAAAAACGCAATGTGGAAAACTACCGTGGGATTACCTCGCTTGGGGTTGAATCTAAGTTGTTTGAGTCGCTGATAAATGAGAGATTGTTTGCTTACTGCCAGCAATACATAAGTACATGTCAACATGGTTTCTTTCCTGGCCGCTCCATGGAAACTAATCTCGTCAGCTTTACGGGCTTTACGTCGTTCTGTATGGAAAATGTATGCAAGAAACTTCAAGTGGATGCCATCTACACTGATCTTATAGCTGCGTTTGATAGAGTTGTGCACGACGTTCTGCTAGCAAAGCTTGAAAAAAAATGGATGTTCTGTTTCCTTCTGCAGCTGGCTTAGATCGTACCTCGTGCAACGTGAAGTTACTGTATGCATTGGAAACTACTCATCGTACCGTTTCTCGAACATATCAGGAGTTCCACAGGGTAGCACTTTGGGACCACTGCTCTTCTCTTTATTTGCGAACGATGTAACGTTTATTCTATTACGTGGAGGTAAATTGTTTTTTGCCGATGACTTGAAGATTTATCTAGTCGTTCGAGGCTATGCCCACTGTTTGGAACTACAAAACCTTCTTGAAATCTTTAATGATTGGTGTGAACGTAATTTTATGATCCTGTCCGTCTCAAAATGCTGCGTAATTAGCGAACTCGGACTGCCTTTTTGATTGTTTATAACGTTGCTGGGACTGCAGTTCAACGTGTGGATCACGTTAAAGACCTCGGTGTCATGTTGGATGAAAAGCTCACATACACTCGCCACTTCTCAACCACGATCGACAAAGCTAATCGTCAGCTTGGATTCATGTTCAAGATATCTAAGGAATTTCGTGATCCTCTGTGTTTTGAAGCCCTTTACTGTTCATTGGCACGCTCACTACTGGAATTCACGTGAGTTGTCTGGAATCCCTACCAAGCAGTATGGAGTGGACGATTCGAAGCTGTTCAACGCAAATTCTTCAGATACGCACTGCGCTATCTTCCATGGAGTGACCCGTTGAATTTACCACCGTATGCTGACCGCTGTCGTCTACTGGGTTTGGATACTCTTGCTAAGCGACGAAACATATCGCAGGTCGTCTTCGTTGCTAAAGTTTTGCTCGCAGAATATGATGTTCCTGAGTTACTGGCCAAAATTAATCTGTATGCTCCTGCCCGAACACTCCGCCCGAGAACCTTGCTACATGAAGTAGTACATGCAACCAACTATGCTGCAAACAGTTCCTTTGTCGCCAAGAAGCCTCGGACCTATTTGACTTTGACATCAATGCCTCCAGGTTTCGTCATCGTTTGCTGTCGGCCAATTTTTAATTTTTAATGAGTGACTACATTTAGATTTAAGTGTTTCATTGAGACTATCAAGTCAGATGGGCTATAATAATAATAAATTTGCAGCTGGTGAGTTTTGTTAGCTTGATATTCAGAGCTGCGATATCACAGCTTGCAATATCAACCACACTTGTTTGCTTGTTGATTTTTGTCTACAAAAATCAAGCGCGATCTTGATCTTTGTTGAGATTTGATTTTTTGATATTTTTCCAACACTGGATAAGGGAGTAATTAAAAGTTCTCCTGCTGATCGAAGATCTCAGTAGTTTCTTATGCATTGTCAAGTCGATCTAATATTATTCTAAAAAAAATATGATTACATTATTCATAATCAAAATTTTCTAGAAGAAGTTTAAAATACGAAGTCATAACCTTCATTTCTATACCAAAAACCTTCACATGTCTGCTTAAAATAAATAGAATCCTTCGAAAGTATTCTTCAATTTGAAAATGTCTTCAAACATCCCCACAAAACATGGGATGTCTTCAAAATATCTGCGGCAAAAAAAATGTCTTCAAATCTGGCTTCCCTGGTTGTACTGTCTGAAGAAGCTTTTTAAAGACTGTAGGAGGAAGATTATCAAAATACCTGTACAGATGAAGTTTACAGGAAGTAAATTGTAAGATTTATGCGTCGTGAAATCTACCATCAGATACCAAATTTTCCTTCATTTTGTACATTCTACTGCACCCTCAAACCAGATTGCATTATACAAATTTCATCCATCCGTAGTATGCAGTATCGTCGCACGCACTCTTCTCGTTATCGCTCTACCTCTCTTTCGCTATCACGCACACTACTCGTCTGCAATATAAAACTAAACCGCACACATACTCGTTTTAAATATCTCCCTCTCACTTTCTCCAACTCTCCATTACCTCTATCTCTCACTGTTTTCCGTTAAAAAATATAAAATACCATTCTCGCTTATCGCATCCATCACTCAACACACCTCTATCTGTCTTTCTCTCGAAATCTCTCTTAACAACCCATCATATGTTTACTCTCTGAAATGTTCGGAACGTGGATTGCGCTTCGCGATCCGCTCGCCGAACCCTTCCCATGAGTGTTAATTGAAGAATTCTTCGGACAATTTCAAGACTCCGGCCAGCGGCTATCCGGGCGTGATCGATGATTTGATCTTCAGCGGCGCCGGTTCCGGCTGCCGTGGAGACGACGAAGACGAATGCACACCGCCATTCGAGACCGGAAGTGGAGACGACATCATCACACCGGTCTACGTACCACCGACGAAGCAAACCACGGCGGCCGGTACGGGAGCGGGCAGCGGTGCTGGGAAAGGCGGTCGAAGGAAGGACGAAGGCAAACTGTGTGACGACGAGGATTGTATCCACGGGTCCGGGTCCGGAGAGGTAACCGAGGTGTACACCGGTACGACGGCCAAGAGTTCGGGTGAGTAGATGCGGGGTTGATCGGTGAAAGGGTTTTAAATGGTTGACTGTTTTTTGCAGAAACGAGTCCCGAAGTGACGTACACGACGGTGGATTTCGATAAGAAAACAGATGGTACGACGACTTTGACGACTCAAGGGCGATCGGAGACGTATGCGCCTAGCGAGACGACCCGGGAGATGGATACGACGAGCAGCGGTACGACGGGTTACGGTAGTAGTAGTGCAGGCACAAGTGGATCCAGCTACGGAACAACGGTTTCGATAGGTACGACAGGAACGACGGGTGGATCAACCAGTGGAACGAGTAGTCGAACGACGTACACTACGGGTACGGCGTCGGGTTCGAGCACTTATGGTTCGACAACTCAACAGCAGACACCGTCGGAAACGACGGTCAGCTATCGTGACCGTGATCGGGATCATATTCGAGAGACGACCCAACCGCAAACATCGACCACGACGGAAGATGACGAGGTTATCGATGTTAGAGATCCGGACGATGAGGATGCAGCAGAGGAAGAGCGGCCAAAGAAGGGACGTCGACCACCACCTGTGAAGGTGATGGAACCACCGAATCCGGAACCGGAACCACCGTTCAACGCCCATCCGCCACCCTTTCCACCGACGAGGATTCCAAAGCACAAAGGTGGTCGAATCAATTCGGAGGCCGAGGAGCGAACGGCCATGATAATCGGGATCGTAGCCGGAGCGTTGATCGCTGTGATTTTGGTCATTTTGTTGGTGTTGTGGATCAAATCGAATGGGGACCGCTCGTATAAGACGGAGCACGACAAGAGTGGGTTGTACGGACAGGGTCCGAGTGCGGCACTGCTGGGCGGATCGCATACCAATACGCAAAATTCGCACTACAATACTCATCAGCAGCAACAGCAGCATCTTCAACAGCCACCACACTACAATGGGAATGGCGGTGGAGGGGCAGGTGGTGCTGGTGCTGGTGGTGCAGGTGGACATCACGGTAATGGTGGCACTATGCCGTTGAATGGGTCGTTACGCCACCATCACAACGGCGGCAACGGCATGGGCGGAGGTGGCGCCGGAGGAATGGGAATGGGCAGCGGTGGCAGTGCGGCCAGTATGGGTTACAACGGCAGCGATCGAGGCAGTATGCAGTCCGGAGGAATGGGACCGCCGCAGAAGCCGAAGAACCGGAATTCCAAGGACATCAAAGAGTGGTACGTCTAGATCCGCTCACGTTGCACTCACCCACACTCAACAACAACAACAAATAAAGAACGCACTCACACGCGCATCAGAGACGTTATATTTATATGAGTACCACTACTGAGAATGGAATACGGCAGACGATGCGCGATTCACGCATACAACAACGGTCACCCACACCAGACTTATTTATACCTATCATTGATTAATTATAGTCGATAATTAATTAATAAAGAAGATTGTGATGATATAAACAAGAGAGAAAAAAAATTAAGGTTAAGACACATACCTATCACTAAACGTTAAATTAACGGGAAAACAAACTATGAGGGCAGAAAATATATTGAGCAAAACAAACACATCCAAGTAGGCCGTAAGCGAAAGTGTACATAGTAAACAAACCAAAACAAAAGAGATGCAAATACACAAAAGAAGTAAATTACACAAACACACAGACACACAGAGACTAGGCTAACAAGTGCGGCGAGAATGAAAGTGTGCGTTATATATTAGTAGTGGTGTCCCCAGAAAATTGCATTTCCCTTCGGCCCATGACGGATATTCGCTCTTAGTGAGATATTTTAATTGGGACTCTTATTGTTATGAGACGCGCGTCGCCTTTGTTTGCGTTAATCGTGTTCCACCACCTCTCTAATCGAAATGTTGTTCTCGTTTGTTTAGAAAGTACGTTTATATTGGGAATAGTTTTACATAAGAATCGAATTTACCCAGTCGAGCATGAGAAGCTTTTGTCGGTTTTATGCCTTTAGGAACAGAAACATAGCAGCGGCCATTCAACCGTGTGTTCAACATCCCTTCCGCGCCCGTAGATGACGTTTTTATCCAGTTACGAACCCTGTTATAGGAACCTTCTGTTTGAGATAGTTTACGAATCGAAGCAAGCCGTGGTGAACGAGTGAAGCGTTACACACCGACACACACAAACACACATATAAAAATACACTGTCAAAAGAAGTTACAACCGTAATTGATATATTTGAGAACGACTCACAAAGAAGATTTAAGCGAGCAAATTGTTTTTCTGCACAAATTTAAGACTACTGTAAACTGTAAGTGAAACGCAAATGAGCAAACAAAAATCTACCGTAATTTTGAACTACCTTTAAGATTCCGATTACTCAAAACCAAATCTCTTCAAGATGAAATATACTGCAAATTACAAGATGGTAAATGTTCTCGTTTTTTCGTATACTCAACTATAGAAGAAAAATCTGTTTTTGCCTCCTTTTTCCGTGGATTTTGTCCCTCCTTTTATAAACAAACAAAAAAAAAACATTTTCAATGTCCCAACTAATCGAACGAATCGATCGAAAAATGACAACCACTCGCGAGTAGGTAAGAAAGCAAAACCAAAAAACAAAACTATTTACACAATCACTATCACTTAAGTAAGTCAAGATCAAATTCTAACATTTTTTCGCGAGGAAAGCCCAAACTTTGAACCGCCGGATTACTTTTTTGACGACTTAAATACTCATTAGTATTGGAAAACAACCACCACTACCACCAATCCATTCGGCGTTCTTTCTCCCTCTCCTCGGCCTGTGTGCGAGAGAGAGAGTGAGGGAGAGAGGCCAACCTTCTGTCAGATTAGCAGAGAGCGACCCTACCGAGAAAAGAACTCTATCTTCTATAATTCACACACAAACACTCTTTACAATGCACGAACCCACACTAGCAGATTTGCCACAGTAAACAAATGCACTGACAGACACACTCAGAAACACACTCACACTCGCAAACAACTGTACTCTTTGACAATGGAAAGTAATCAGCTATCGTTGAGCAATGCCATTAAATTACAGTATTTTTCTTGCTAGGAAATTACATTTATACTTGGAAAAGGAAGCAAACCAAAACAAAAGCGCATAACCTAGGATGACAGAACTGCTTGTACGCAACCAGCAAAAAAAAAAAACTGTATACAAAATTTACACTTATAAACACAGCGAAGCAAAAATCTAAAACGGAAAAATACTAAATGTTTTCTCTTTCTCTTACAAAAAAGCAACACGAATGTAAACAAACCCCAATCTTCAACCAAACTTAAAGTACAGCAAATCTTTCTTATGGAAACAAACGAAAAAAAAAACAAAGTTAGAACGTCAGTTTTGTGTTTTTCTCTGCGCCCCCCAAAACGCGGCTGTAGACAGAAAACCGGATCAAAATTTTACGCACACACGCCTCTCTCACTTTGTCTAATGATAAACAAACAAATCGAAAATAAACAAAACAAGCTCTCTATTATATTATCGTTTATTCGTTATTCTCTCTCTCTCTCTTTCACACAAACTCATACACTCAAATACACTTACACAAACACATACAGACGACTACTCTTACCCGGAGGAGCGCGACTTAGGAATATGAGAACCTTATATGGAACAACATATCAGTTTTTATACCAAGTCTACTAGGGAATACCAATACAACAATCCGAAAGCGAATCGATCATTCCGAAGAAAGCAGCAACCACAGAAGAAAGTGCGGTTAGAAAAGACTTATGAACCACTCAATCCCTGTCGAGAACCCCAAAACAATCAAAGCATGCGCGTTTTCTCCTTCAATCACACCGATCTGTCACCATATGTAGGGCAATCATCCGCCGGCCGCTGTGACAGATTGATAACTCCCCCAACCCTCGCAATTGTTCATTCCCATCCAACCGTCAGTAGTAGATTGACCCCAACCGCCGTGCTGCGAATAAAGCCCCCCCCCCCCTCTTTTTTGTTGATAATCTCTCTCTCTCTCTCTATTTAGATAGGTAGTTGAAATATTTATCCGCCCTCAGGCACCCCCTCCCCCTCCCACAATGCAGCAAGGATGAATGCACAGATGGATTTGAGTTCACTCACTCGAGAAAAAGTGACACAAGCTGCGGGCAATGTTTACTAATCATGAACACTAAATGTTCATTATTCATGAACATTTAGAGTTCATGATTAGTAAACATTGCCCGCAGTTTGTATAACTTTTTCTCAAATACATCTGTGCACTTGTCTGTTAGGTTCTGCAGCGCGACGTCACGAATGAACTCAGTGTTCATCGGATGAACTTTTTGACAGTTTAATGGTTCTGTTTACAAGCACTAATTTTTTTTTTCGAATTCGGAACTTCCATTTAAAAAATGCCGAGGAAATGCGCGGTGAAAAGATGTTGCTCGCGGACAATGCAGAAGTGTGGTCTACATTTCACTGCAGTTTGAAAAATATAGGAGCAAATCTACCTAAGAAAAAATACAATAAGTCCACGTACACACTACCACTGAACTGTCATCCGATTGAGGTTAACTCCGACGGTGCAAAACTTTATGGATAAGAGAGAAACGAACTGGTTGGTTTTTTTTTTGGAGAAAAAACGAACCGGCTAAGTCCGGGTCAAGGCAGTTTGTTCCTCTCTTATCGGTGAAACTCGCAGCGCCCAATCTGGGAGTCCGTCACCCCGAGAGTTGTGTAAACAAGCGGTAGGCAATCTTTCATTGTATTATTTTCTAAAACCCCCAAAAACCACGAAAACAGTGCGGATCAGAAACGCTACATTTGTAGTCTTTTTTTTCTAAAGAAAGTCGAAAATGAAAACTTGACGGTTTTTTTTCTTTTGAAGCGCTATAATTTGAGTTAATTTGTTAGTTTGGAACTTCACCACGTCACACTCTTCCAGTATTGTTCAGCAGAGTTGAAAGGGCCTAGCTCGTGAACGTTTCAGACTAGATTTTCATTGAGATGCGCCGTTAAAATCAGTAAATCCCACCATCTAAAAAGTCTCACTCAAATGAACAACTTTGCTGAAGACTGAAATTTTTGCATATGGTCAGGACTATTATAAACAAAGCGATTATTAGTACCACCTAGTGGACAATTTTTGTAATAAACTACACACCATGTGAATGATTTCACTAAGCTGAACAACTTTTCCATAGACGAGAGCTTTCCATGTGGTCAGAAGTAATCAGAAGAAATTAGACAAAACAATATTTTGCTCACCAGCGCCTCTTAGCGATACATTTTTTAACTAAACTATTAGCCATCAGCAGTAAGTTCTCACTCAAATGAACTCAGCCGAAGATTTGAATGTTCTATATTCTGTATGCATTAGGGTGTGTCAACAGTACAACCCCATGCTTCCCACTGCTCTTTCGATGCTCATTGAGGTCCTCAACAACTGTGCAAAATTTGAGCGAATTTGGGTATGATCTGGATTTCCAGGAAAGTTCCAAGTTAATGTTCGAAGAAGATCTCCGAACTCAAGGAAAATGCTATGAACTTCAATAAAGTTCAGCGAACCCCAGAAAATTCTTACACACTCCAGAGAAACAAAGAAGTTCAATTATTTTCAGAAAAGTTCTTCAAACTTTAAGAAAAGTACTACAAACTTCCGAAAGAAGTTCGATCTTAAGAGAAGTTCTAAAAAATTCAGGATAATTATGCGATGTGTTGCGAGCTTCAGGGAAGTCGGGTCAAAAGCTTCCACTTGTCGAATGACCCACACAATTTTCCTGGAATTTTCACCAGAATTATGTAGGAAATATCCTGGGAGTCCAATAGCCTCAAATTTCGTCTAGGAATTTCCTATAACCCTTTTATACCCCTTTTTCAGACTAATACAAGACCCTTAGTAGCGAAACATCTCCAAATAGGTTCATAGAGATTATGCTTATCAATGACGGTTGAATTTCGTGTATAAAGGATGTTCAAGATTCTCCAAACTGTCGTGGAGTTCAGAATATTTGATCTACTGGATCAACTAAGGCCTGCACGATGTCCTCAACGACAATATCTGCTCAAACATGTTCATAGAGCTTTGAGGCATCATGTATAATCTATAATATAAGATGCACAAGGTTCTCCAAGTTGTCCTGGAGTTCAGATCAAATGACCTACAGGTGTTTTCACTGAGAATATCGTGTAGGTTGACCCAGTAGATCAAATAATCTGAATTCCAGGACAGTTTGGAGAACCTAGATCATCTGATAAACATGAAATTGAAACATCAATGATATGCATAATCTCTATGAACCTATGTTTGGAGATGTTTCGCTACTAACGGCCTTATATCAGTCATGGTTGATCTAGTAGATAATTTTATCTGAACTCCAAAACAATTTGGAGAACTTTGAGCATCTTATATACACCATTATGGGTAAGTACTAAATGAACGTGTTTAGGCAAGTGATGCCACTGAAGACATTGTGCAGGCCTTGGTTGACCCAGTACATTTCGGAACTCCAGGACGTTTTGGAGAACGCAGAACATCTTATACACTTGAAATTGCAACGTAAACGACGTGCATAATTTTCATGATCCTGTTTGGAAATGTTTCGCTATTAAAGGCCTTGTATCAGTCATTGTTGATCTGGTAGATCATTTGATCTGAACTCCAGGACAATTTGGAGAACCTCGAGCATCCTATATACATTAAAAACGATTATAAATGATGTGCTAAAACTCTTGTCGCTGTTCAGATTAAAGTCTGTATTCGCAAACATAAAAACTTCATAAGGTTTTGGAGACGTAGGTCGTTGAATATGGCTATAAACTAGTGCTTTCAGAACTACAACTTTACTGAAGAAAGTATGTAGCAGTCTTGTATACAACCAATCATAGAGTGTGGGCTTGAATGGGATAAGCCCTCATCATAACTCTCTTGAAATTAATATTTATTAGAATTGGATTAGAATTTCCTCGACTTCCCTGGGCATCAACGCCCCTATCCTGCGAGTCGAGTGACTCTCTGTCACTAGTGAGGTGCCAAAATCACGTCGTGTGACATGAGGCTCCATTTGATTAACACATTCACATAAATACCATGAATCTGTTTGGGCATATTCCGGTACTACAGAAGTTTTATCAGTATTGGTTTATTTAGTTCGTCATCTGACTTAAGCTCCAGGACGATTTGGAGAACCTAGGAAATCTGGTGTATATAACAATAGGTCTGGCATGATTGGGATAAATACCATGAATCTGTTTGAGCACATTTCGATACTACAGACAGTTCATCACCAGGCTTAAACTCCAGGATGATTTGGAAAACCTACATCATCAGGTGTACATGACTATAGGCCTTACGTGATGCACATAAACACCTTTGATCTGTTTGGGCTTATTTTGATACTGTAGGCATTGTCCCACTCTTGGTTGATTTAGTAGAACAAATCATCTGAACTTCAGGACGATTCGATGAACCTAAAACATAGGGTATACCTGCGAATGTATCGCAAATTGTGTATATTGTGTATAACATCTGGAATACATGACAATAGGTCAGGTCAGGATTCACATAAATACATATTTGGGCATATTTCGATACTACAGACATTGTCTAATCCTTAGTTGATCTAGTTCATCACCTGATTTTAGCTCCAGAACGATTTGGAGTACCTAGAACATTTGGTATGCATGCAAATAGATCGGGAATGATTCACATAAATACCATGAATCTGTCTGGGCATATTTCGATACTACAGACATTGTCTAATCCTTAGTTGATCTAGTTCATCACCTAACTTAAGCTCCAGGATGATTTGAAGAACCTAGATCATCGGGTGTACATGGCAATAGGTCTTAGGTGATGCACATAAGCACCTTGGATCTGTTTGGACATATTTCGATATGACAGACGTTGGTTGATCTAGTATAACAAATAGCCTGAACTCCAGGACGATTTGAAGAACCTAGAACATAGGGTATACATCCGAATGTATCACAAATGTAGTATATTGGTTCCATGAATCTACATGAACTCCTTTCGATACTACAGACATTGTGACAGTCATGGTTGATCTAGTTCATCACCTGATTTTAGCTCCAGAACGATTTGGAGAACCTAGAACATCTGGTATACATGAAAATAGATCGAGCATGATTCGCAAAAATACCATGAATCTGTTTGGGCATATTTCGAAACTACAGATATTGTCTAAGCCTTAATTGATCTAGTTCATCACCTCACTTAAACTACAGGATTATTTGGCGAACCTAGATCATCTGGTGTACATGGCAATAGGTCTTACGTAATTCACATAAATACTTTGGATCGGTTTGGGCATATTTCGATTCTTTAGACTTTGGCCCGCTGTTGGTTGATCTAGTATAACAAATAGTCTGAACTCCAGGACGATTTGAAGAATCTAGAACAAAGGGTTTACATGCGAATGTATCTCAAATGATGTATATTGGTTCCATAAATCTACTTGAATATATTACGATACTACATACATTGTGCCAGTCTTGGTTGATCTAGTTCATCACCTGATTTTAGCTCAGGACGATTTGGAGAACCTAGAACATCTGGTGTACATAAAAATAGACTGGGCATGATTCACATAGATATCATGAATCTGTTTGGGAATATTTCCATACTACAGACATTATCTAAGTCTAGGTTGAACTAGTATAACAAATAGTCTGAACTCCAGGATAATTTGGAAAACCTAGAACATCTGGTATACATGAAAATAGGTCGAGGATGATTCGCAAAAATACCATGAACCTTTTTGGACATATTTCGATACTACAGACATTGTCTAGGCCATAGTTAATCTAGTTCATCACCTGACTTAAACTACAGGATGATTTGGCAAACCTAGATCGTCTAGTGTACATGACAATAGCTCTTACGTAATTCACATAAACACTTTGGATCGCTTTGGGCATATTTCGATGCTTCAGACTTTGGCCCGCTGTTGGTTGATCTAGCATAACAAATAGTCTGAACTCCAGGACGTTTTGAAGAACCTAGCACATAGGGTATACATGACAATAGGTCGGGCATGATTCACATAAACACCACGAATCTGTTTAGGCATATTTGGATACTACAAACATTGTGCCAGTCTTAGTT